GCAACCATAACTGCGTTAACTCTATGGTTTATGCTAGAGATATGTAGGAATATTTATAGACCATGGGGGTTTATAATGTGGCTTTTGGAACCACCCGGCCGGAAAAAAATATCCAACAGGTTCTGATATTGGTGGCGCAAGGATCCTAAGTCCAAGAAAGTGGAACATATCAAGAATTTGAAGCCACCCTGCCACCTGAGAACTCAAGTTGCACACTCCATGCCTGGTATATTTCGTGGCCGGACAATTTTGGGCAATTTCCCCATCCTCCTCACTATATAAGAGACAACAACTGACAAGCCCAAACAGGGTTAGCCTTTAGTTCTAAACCAACTTACCTAAGTCACATAATGAATCTCCATATTTTTTGTGGTTAAATCCATGTGAAATCTCAATTTCTCCATCATTTTGGCTGCTTTACTCCCCATTTCTCTGGTTTCCAGCCGCCATCGGCCGGGCGTCGAAGATCGGAAGCACCGCACTGGGCCGGTCGGAGGCTGCCAAGAGCAGCAGCAACTGATCGAGGATCCGACCACAGCCTGGGAATCTGTATCTCCAGAGAACTGATCTGGGTATATCTGGGCAAAGAAACCCAGGATTTGAGATGATTTATACATAATGGAACCACAACTATGGGGATCAAGACTTGATTTATGATATTGAGATAGGTTTGTTGTGGTTTGTTCATAACTACGGTGTTGGGCATATGGATGTTTATAGCGGGTATACCAAGGGTTGGATGAGTGAACATAAGCCGACAAACATAACTTGGGGGCCACACCTTACCCCTGCATGAACCAAGGAATTTGCTTAAGATAAGAGCCGCAGAAAGCATGTTGACATCACAATGATGTTGGGGCAACCCAAGTTTGCACTCCCCCACTTGGATTGCGAAACATTAGTCAGCTGCGATCATCCCAAACAAACAATATGTAAAATAGCAAACATTCCAAAGCACCAGCCAGTATCATGGGTGTTATATCGCCAATCATATTTCTCGCTTTAGATATATAATGTCAATTCATTAGGGTGGTACCTCCCGTGATTTCATCGGATACTTAGATGGTACCCAATTGAACAGCCGTTTGGGGTTTCTAATTCCGGGGGGGTTGACATCACCAATCATATCCTCATTTTCGATGGTTAGATCATGTTCGACCAGGCAATCATGTGAAATCCCCAAAAAAAACACGGAATTGGCTCTAGGGAAGCCCCCCCAACCGGATCCCACCAGCCCAGCCACTGCCGCGCAGCAAGGCCTGCTCCGTGCGCTCCGTGCGCTCCGTCCCTGCATCGCCCGTGTCCAGCTGACGGGCGCAGACGTCTATCAGCCGCTGCAGCGGTGCGTGGTCCACGTCTGGCAGGGCCAAGAAAAGCTGGGCGCAGCGCACGATGACGTGCCTCAAACGGTGAGATTCTTGGAGAAAAAATGTGACAAAAGCGATGTTAAGGGATGATTCTGGCTGATTGACAAATGTTGAGTTTGGCGTTGATTTAGAGATGCTGCTTTACAGATTTTACAGGCAGTCCAGGCAAGTCAAATTATTCTTATAGAGTAGTTAATATTAATATAATAGCAACGACTATCTACAAATCTTCTTGACATTAAACACATCCAATAAACCTGTTTGACACTGCTGCTGCCAACAACCAAGACAACATGTGCAATCAATGTCTGATATCAGCGAGGCAACCGTGGTGAGTGAGGTTGAACGACCACCCCAACAGTCATAGGAGTAAGAAAGCAAGTATAGCAAATGCAAGACTACCCAACACCGCGCATCCAAATACGCATCCCAAACGTGGGAATGAAACATGAAAAAACAAAAGAACGGTGCAAACTTGCCAGCCAGTTACTCGTTGCAAGCCGGCTTCAAAGACCTGTGCATACCGTGCTCCTTAGGGGCATATCCGACTGATCGTCTGTGAATAAGGTGGCAACCAACAAACATGGCTGGGCCAAGTCGCTGTCAGCGTGGGCAAGCACCAGAAATTGGCAAATGCAGCCCTTGGCTCTCCATGGTGGATGGTCCCTAAACAATCATCCGGCAAGAAATATGAACTCTCAGTTTTTCTTAGCAACCCAACTTAAATGGTTGTTGAAGAGTTGTGGAAACCTGCAAAGTAGGGGGTAATATTAATGAATCTGCAAGGTATGTAGGTAAAATTATGCAAATATCAGCTGTAACGGCTGTGCCATCCTGAAAAAAATACATATTCGGCATCTTTTTTGGGACACCGTTTTTCGATGACCAGGCGATTCCCCCCACTGGCACCGTTTAGGCAAGGCTATCGCACTCTCTCAGACAGGGACACAACGAAAAAAACACTTGAAACGTGAAGCCATCGACCTCTTGATTTCAACCAACAGTCACAAAGTGTTCAAACCCGCGGCAACAAGCCATGTCTGAAGGCGAAGCGTCTGCAAATCTGGTGGCCAATGGAAAAAGGGTGCCGCAACGTGGCTCGCCTCCCAAAGGCAGGTGCTGGTGGAAATTTAGTGCTGCAAAAACTGAGAAATGAAATTATATGTATTCATAAAATGATGGGGGAAAACATCATCATCATCATCATCATCATCTTCATCATCATCTAACAACATCCTGGAAGCCCTTTTTGGAAGCTGTTTGGGGACGCCAATCATCAGCCCAGCTGGAAGGTGGTGTCCCGTCGTTAAGTTTGGTTTAGTTGAGCACATGTAGATCATTTATGTATCATGATAATGTAGGATAATGTAGGGGGGTATATATAGCGTTTATATAAACCAAAACATGTCACTGGTGAACACACTGCCAGAAAACCACCTGGTTTTCCATGGGGCTTTTCCCGCCTTTGTTTCCTTCAGGAGATGCAGTGGCACCTGAAACTCCACCACCAAGCGCTGCAAGTGCCCCAGCTTCCCGTCGCAGCCATGGCCCGGCAGCAGCAGCTGATGGGGCCGGTACTGCAGGGTACGGAGGAGAAGATCAGAGCTGCAAAGCAACTCCAATCCTAGAAGCTGTGGGAATCGCATAGTAGCAGCACATGCCCAAAATGTATATCTACATAATATTATACATGATATATAGACTATATATAAACATACATACATGCACATATATAGTATATGTGTACGAACAAGATTAACAAGATTATGAACTATGAACATGTTGTTTGTTTTTTTGCAACACGCCAGGATACACAATGTATATTCACTGATATTTCACTGATAAGAGTACCAGTTAGGGGGAAACTCAGAAAGGCAGTGTTGCATTGGGGCAGCCACCTCTCTTTTTAGCATATGTCGCGCTCAATGAAGGCCAGGTAAAAAAAACACCTAATGAGCTGAGCGAAAAGCAGTACTGATAGTGCACCATCCCAACAAATCAACACATGCAGAGCTATACTCATGGGCAATCCCGCTAAAAGTGCGCAAATGAGGAAAAAAGATGCGAACAAACTGATGCAAAATTAAGGAACTGAACTCATCCGTCTGATTCGCCCAGTGTTGCAGCAAAGCTCGAGCAGCAGCTCGTTTTTTCCTTCGGATGTGACACAAAAAAAGGGATGAAAACGGTTCTGCAAACTTCTCTCGCCCCCGGAGAAAAACATCATCATTTCTTACAGGAATTAATCACTATATAATTAATTAATCTTAATTATCCTCCAAATGGTCCCAAATATGTAGTGTCATACTCCCTTAAGCCATGGTTTATGGAGAATGTTTATCATGTTTGCCATGAATTCCCATAATCCTAAATTCCCAGTTACATCCCATTCCCTCCACTATAAAAAAAGCACCATGACATCACAAAGAAAAGGTCCAAAGCATTGCAAAACTGAGGACATTCCCCCAGTACCGAAGAACCCAACTCCAACCGGGAAAAGGATCTAAAATCATCTTGGGACATGTGCATCATTTCGGGTCCTTAAAGTCCAGGGTTGATGTTCCAAATTCAAGGGGGGGTCAATCCCAAACATCCTGTGTAAATCATACTGAAACTGCTCCGTCCTCTTCTTGGAAAGGAGCAACTGCTCCGCCTTCCAGAGATTGGCCAAGGGACAAAACCTTCAGACCCTTCAGTGGTGCAAAATCATGGAGCAAGCATCTTCGATTCTCAAACAATCCTGATTTTCGATGTTTAACACTATTGGGTCATCTGTTTAAATCCCAGTCACCATACATCATATTCAGTCATATTCTTTTTGGGGGGCCCAAAAAAAACACAGGGCCACTGCCTTGCCACCGAGCCCGGCACCTGCTTTCGCAAGGAGATCTTCATTCTCAAGGCCCAGGCCGCTTGAACTTGTTCCGTCTCCGAGGACCGCGAGATTTGGAAGGAGAAGCGCCAGCTCCAAATCTGCTGCAGCAACGGTGCTAAGGCCTCCTGGGGCCGTTTTCGGAATGGTTCCAACATGGTCCAACTATCATTAATAGCAAATAATAGAGGAGCTAATATACAAATGGCGCAACTAAGGGTGCCACTAGTGTGCAATTCATGGGGTAACTAAGGATGGCATGAATGGGCCAGGCATCAACGCGGTTTCGTTGGTTGCGGATGGCAGTGACGTTGCTGATGATCGTTGTCGCGAAGCTGAAGCGTTGCGTATCATTGCTGCCTTCCCAGCCCATACATAGGGCATTGAGGAGCTGATTATGCAACCTCAGCGACTTCCCCTTGGCCAAGAAACCTTTTCAAAAAACATCCAGCCATCCCATCCTCCCAATCTCCCTCTCTCTCCCATCGCCATCTCAATAACCTTAATATATATTTAATTCCATGAAATTCACCAAAGCCCTGCACACGATTAGACCATACGATCCAACACTAAATTCCACCTATGAGTAATGTGAGCCGTCAAGCTGCTTGGACCCATTACTTAAATACATCTGACTATTCAAATGCTTATAAATACTAGAAAAATTAGATCACATCAGGTCCAGTAAGTACGCTAATTTCATCTAGTCACTAAATCATGCCTAGAACTGGATCTAGTACTTCGTAGATCTTCGTAGCCTCAAAGAGAGAGATTCTCAGGGTCTCAACCAGGCCCTTCCCAGTGGTATTTTATGTCGCTTCAATGTCATAGGAATATGTCTGGTTGGTGGTTTCAACCCCTTTGATTAGTCAGTTGGGATGATTCTTCCCAACATATGGAAAAATAAAAAAAATGTTCCAAACCACCAACCAAATGTATGTGTGTGTTTTTATTCTCCTGAAGGTTCGGACGACAGAAGACCAAAACAGGAATCACATCAACCAACCGTCATGTGTAATCATGTGTAAATTAATGGTAACCAAACATGGCGTACAAGAAATTCCACCATTTATCGATGATTTCCAATCAGATCCCATCAGCTATAAATCTTCATTTACCGCGGATTTCCAAGTCAGCAACGTTTAAAAAAAAAATCGGAGAGTATACCCCAACAGTTATGTGAATTGTAAATATATATATATATATATGTATTGTATACATACATATCAACCATCATTTATAATTTTGCTTGCGGTAAACTAATGTAATCAGATGTGAAAAATCAACCATTTCCAGATCATGTTCCTAGGATAACCATGTGTTTTCCATGGTTTTCCAAGTATTTTTGTATGTTTACCCTAGGGTAAGTCCACATCGCCAAAAATGGCTACCCTCTGGTTATTTAACATAGCTATGGAAAACGACCCATACCGACCCATCTTGGTTTAGATGATAAACATTATGATTTTCCTATGATTTTCCCATATTTTCCATGATTTTCCATGAGTTTCCTATGAACAAAATGTGCTTTTCCACATCTATGTTACTCACCGAGACGCTCTGGACGAGTCTGCAGGTCACCCTGCAGCAACTGCAGTGCTGACGCCCAGTGCCATGGAATCGGCTCCAAGGACCAATCAAAAACGCCTAGCCAGGCTGTGGATGGGGTGATGTAACATGGGTTCGGACAGTTATAGAATCAAATCCTGACATCAATGAATGGTGAAAAAATGAGAATAAACATACATATGTCACATAGCGTAACATTACATTATGTTACATGATATCGGTACTTGTTTTTCAATTATACCTACGGTTACCTACGTGTATAATATATGTATTATATATGTATATGTGCAATTGTAATGGGTTGAAGAATTGGTCTGAATCAATCCAAACATATGATTAACGGACTACTGGCAATCAAAACACATGTCGACGCCAGTTGCGAAGGAGGGGCTGGAAGACCTATGGTCGTACACAACGAGGAAATAAAACATATAACAAAACCACATGTTGCCCATGATAGTCAAAACGGTTGAACATGTTTTAAACAAAACGTCTTGGATGAATCCACATACCTGGGAACTGGATTTCAACACTGCAGATTCCAAGCCATGGTGCGCAAAAAGGACGGCTTGGAGCATAGCTCACACAAGCGAGATATGGCTTCCTCTTGCGCAGCCAGAAGCTCACGAGCATCACTTTCCAGAGGATATTGCAATAAAAATGTAATCCTCAGCACCAAACCATCAAGTCTAAGTGTGAAGGGCTTCGATTGCGAAACTTGGCATCACATTTGCTTTGTGTCCAGGAGCCCAAATAATAATCGGAAAAAGAAGGGTAGCCAGGACCACCAAGTGCGCTTGCTGTCATTGGAATTGAAATCAGGCTTCACTACTTTGGAAATGGTGGGAATTTCCACCCGGGACATGTTGGGATGATGGAAAAATCCCAGGTTTTTTCAGACCATGTACTGTACCTCGACAGAATCGGTTGACGAGTTTTTTGTCCACGAGTTGAACCATGAATTTCTGTGTAAAACTATGTAAAACCATGGGTAAAACTAAGAGAAACGAGATCAAGACCCCATGGTCCCACAATGTCCCACAATGTCCCGTCGCAGCCAAAGAAACACTTGCCTGAACTGCGACGGGGCCATGTCATGGGTGTGTAGGATCGACCACACCAACAGTTTCAAGGTTGAAGAAGCAAGATAATGTATGGATCAATTTGGTTCACCATCATAAAACAGTCCATATAATTACAGTAAGTTTAATGTACAGTAAATATCAAGTATATTCGAGTATATTGTCCAGGAATGACCCGCATTTCGAAGATTTAGCCAAAGGTATAGCTCACCTATGGAAACATCTGCAACAAAAAAGGACTCGGTCCGGATTCCTGCCTTACGGTTCTTGGTAGGCTCCACCAACTGGACAAGGCTTGGGATGCAGCACCAAAACCTGAATGGGTGACCTCCCAGCAACCGAAAAGAATGGCGCCCTAGGTCTTGATGGATATAAAAGGTGTTACAATATCTTAGGGTAGAAGAAATGACTGGAACAGAAGTGGAGAGTAGCAGGAATAGAGAACAAACCAAACGTCAAAGTATGTCAGAGTAGTGGTGTCCAACCGCCTGACCATCCCAAATAGAAACAGGCAAACTAAACATATTTTGACCCCACCGGGCACTTCAAACATTCGCATACTTTCCGGTAATCAACCATGGCATGCTGGCAAATCCACCATTTCTAGATGAATTTCCCAGCTATAAACCTCCATTTACAAAGGATTTCCTAGACAGGCACGCTTGATTACCGGAGGCTATTTCAAGCACATGTTTCATCTATCCTAGAAACTTTCTTGCGCCAAGGCCGTCAATGCAGGTGACGCAATCAAGGCCGTTCCTCTCCGCGAACGGCGGAAGCTCCTGTTCGGACAAGTTTCAGCTGCGCCATTTGGACCACTGAGAAACATTCTCATGAACATCATGGACCATGGGTCCATACACTTCTGCATCTAATAGAAAAATGTAGGGGATATAATGGATATTAATCAACCATCACCACGGATTCCTTACATTTTAGAGATCATAATATATGATCATATGATCATATTGGGGATATTTATCGACCCCCATTTTCAGGACCTGGAAAAGCATTGGGTCTGCAAACATAGGATGATGGTGCTCTTCAATTCTGCAAATGTTAACTCACGATCAATTCAAATAAACCGTGGTTCTTGATGGGGGAAACGATATTTTCGTGATAGCATATAAATTCTCATCTTTTTGGGGTGCCTTGACGTGCCTTGAATATCTTGAGTTAATGAACAGAGGGGTTACAATTGCTGATCCGGGTTTGACACTCTCCGACTGCGGTATCTCATCCTGGCCCTCTCCAGCAGGATGTTGTTCCAATGCAGCAGTTGACCACAGGCTTCCACCACGCGGGAGGCATTGAGAAGATCTTGAACGCCTGGCCTCAAAAAGCACAGGACCTTGGTTCGAACATCCGCTGAAGCCATGTCTTAAACATCGCGTTCAAAAATCAGACCCTCTACTTACATCTACTTACAGCCACGTGATGATTTACAGATCTCACATGTCTAGTGGAGGGTTGAAGCCATAAGCAAAAGTGGGCACCATTGCGTCCATCAAACGTCAGGATCCCATCTCGGATGTCAAGAACTTCTCTCACTCGTCACTCGACTTTAACACCTGCTCTTTAGATAGTCAGATTATGTCAGACTTATGTCAAATTCAAGTATGTACATACACATTTCACCCAGGTTTTGCCTGATAGTACTATAATGTTAATGTATATTATATATATATGTATGTATCGAATCGTTACATATCGTTATACATTCTTTTGACTTATCACTACTATCCTTGTTACTATAGTGGTATAAGCATAAGCAGCCAGCGCCAAGGGCACCAGCCAGTCGATCATCTCAGTGGTCAACCGGAAGGCCTCGGACGCTGCCTCGCTGGACGACTCACTGTCCTCGGGCAAGTGGTTCGTGGGCAAAAATGTTTCTGAATGTTTTTCATTGTTTTTCTACACGTATATGCATTTTTGTATGTATAATATATATATATATACATATATCTATCTATATATATATATATATATTTATATATATATATTTGTATGTATAAATAGATAGATATAGTCCACCTGTGTATGTGCTGCAGTATGTTCACGTGTGCAAGTCTGTATTTGCAATATGTACGTGCATATGAATATATGATTATGTCATATTATGTCCCCAAACCGAGGTTACTGCATCACACTTGGGCTATTGGCTGGACACCGCACGACAACAAGGATAGTAAAATTTTGATCATAGGATTCTGTTCAGCACAATTTGATTGCATCACAATCCCTGCTCCCCTATATGGAATAGCCCCGTAGAAATCCATGTTTTGTGTTGGATTTATTTGGGTCTTTATTGGAGGTAGTTCATGTCAGAGCATATAATTAAGATATTTGTTATTTTATATTTAGACATCTATTATTTAACACTAGATATTAGTAATTAGTTAACACATCAGCAGGATGATTTGATCTTTTCCAGTGATTCAAGGCCGAGACACTACCAGGTGTTGCAAGACCCGCGCTCCAAAGTGCGTGTCATCCTGGCGAACGCGAATCGCAAAGCGATCAGGGCCTTCGGGCCTTGGAAAATATCCAAAGTGGTGATTCAAAACTGGTTTAATGGTGGTTTAATGGTAGTTTAATGATGGATTAGATGGGGGTTCATGGGAATTTGGGACGCACCTAGTGTAGACAATGCTTGTTGAAGATCAAAGATTAAAACACTTCAAGAACTTCAAACAATTTCATGTTTAGATGATGATTCCGTTTGAACATCGTGGTGAAGTCGTTGTAACTGACCAATATATTATATATATATATATGTATATATACCAATGTTCCCCCATTCAATCCCCATTAACCACCCATAAACCTCCATTTACCAATGATCAATGATTGTTTCATGTTATTTCGACATTTTGATGGATGAACCATCAGTTCACTGGTTATCTCCATGGTTTGACGATGACAACTTGTAATTTAAGTAACCATGAAAATAGCGCCTTAACATGGTCTAGCCATGTCCCCATTGCATGTCCCCGGTTTTTTTCCCTTCCGCCTGCGGCCAAACTCGTGCGAGTCTCAGCTGCTGCATGGTTTCCAAGGCAAATTGGCCACAGGCAGAGACCTGGCCCAGTTCGAGCAGCAAAAATGAGATTTTTTGGCACGGGAAAATGGGAGTCTAAACCATGGTTTATTAACTTGAACAACCATGATAAACATGTGGTTCTAACAAGCCATTGAACTACGAACAGCTGGTGAAACTGTATAGCTAGCCAAAAGAAATAAACAAGTATAAATATCATTGGATTTTGACAGCTAGCAAGTGGTCAAATACTTATTGGATAGACCACAAAAAGGATATGGAAGCAGCAATACTTCAGATGTCCAAGGGGAACAAGTTGGAGTTGAGCAAGCAAATCTTCCTTCACCAACCGCAAACATTATATAACATATCCAACTACAAATCGCAGTTTTGGGCTTGGGCATGCATCAATATTCAAGAGCCAGTGGGATATAATGGGACTACAGGTTCAATTGCAATGTTGAGTATGAAAATGCATGAACATGCATTTTCCATCATTTTCCCATTTTTTGGGGTGCACAATTTAGATCCATACTTACTTGTAGTTTCGAGATTCTTTAAGCATGTATAAAAATTATAAAAGAAACGAGCACCATGAAGGCCCAGTACTGATCCCACTAAAACACTCCTGGTTGGTGGTATACCTACCCCTCTGAAAAAATCGAAAGTCAGTTGGGATGATTATTCCCAACATATAGAAAATAAAAACTGTTCCAAACCACCAACCAAAATATATGATATAATCATATATAATCCATCTACACACCATCTCAATAGAACATGAAATTGAGATGTAAACTGCTTTGCTCTCCCAGCTGGGCAAGCTGCACCTCGGCCTCTAGGTATGCCACACCAGAGGCAAGCAGCACCTGTCACTGTGAGCCATAGAGCATGGCTCACCCGAAAAGTGTCAAGGCGGCTCAGCGGCTGCACCTCCATGAGCCCCCGCCAAGCATGCAAGGAAGCGCTACTGCTGCCCTTCGCTTGCAGGGAGAAGGTGAGAAGTTGCTTGAAGGACTTCACATGGGAAGCACGCCAGGAAAGGAGCGGCACCACGGTTGACATGTGCTGCAACACAGCTGTACCTAACATGTGAGCCCGGGAGTCACACACAGCTGCTTGACAGGTTAGTTAAGTTGGTGGTTGGCTCTCACCCAGATGTGCCCTATTTAACAACTGAAACGTTCTGAGGCAAGTAAATGCAAATAACCCTTCCCTCTTCTCAATCCTACCGAGATTTCACAACAAGAAAAATGTTCGGTGCGGGATCAACCACCTGAAAAGAGAAACCAACAGGTGACCGAGAGGCGAACGTTGTCCTGCTCATTCTTCAAGCGCCGCTCGAAAAAGCTTAAGGCATCCTGGATGCCGATGGGCCAGTGGCTTGAACCCTGGTGATCCCTGGTGGCAGTTTTAGAGATTGGAATGCATCAATGGGTGGTTTCTTGAAGCTTTCCAGACTGGCAACTTGTGAAACCCCTGCTGCTCTAAACCTTCAACGCCAGTCCACACAGCTGCCAGCGTGAAGGCTGGTCCGTTGCTAACATCCAATCATGCGCACCGCATGGTCCGTGTCCTCTATTGCTTGCGGGCCTTCCCTAGCAGCACATCGGATTAGTGCGCTGAAGCAAACTTGTCTTGCCTGGTGTGGCAGAACGGCATTTCTACGCAGGGGGTCAAAATAATAACAGCCCATACAACATCTTAGCGGTAAAGTCGAATTGGGATCATCAAAACGCCCACAAGAACATAGCACACATCCTCATTCATGTTTTCCAGCAACGCGCCACCAAACTGAGAACAGGAGTTTACTGTTTCATGCGCGACGTCACTGATAGCACTGCCCCATTTTTTTTTCAAAATTCCCCCCCCCCCGGAAAAAAAAAAAAACATTGGTTCCTTGCTCAATCCAATCTGTTTGCCACAAGAGATGGGGCCAGGAGGGCTTCCCCAGGTGTGCTGTTTCTCAGGTGTTGCATCTATGTCAAACACCTGTACCCCGGTTTCCGGCAAAGAGATTTTCATCCACACAATCCATGAAGAAAATCCTAGGTTTTACTCTCTGGTTATTTAACATAGCTATGGAAAATGGCAAATATATTGGTGATGAAAACCCAGATTTACCCAGCAAAAATTGTGATTTCCCAAAGCAACCAGTCAAATAACCGGAGGGCAGTACCTATCACCCTGCTCAAGCGCTTCCTGGCTGCAAGTGCGTTGGAATTATTGCATCTGCGTTTAATCTCATCCATAGCCTTGGCCAACCACTGCAGGCAAGGTCACAAAATGGATGCTACGACATGACCCATCCTTTGAATCATCCACAAATTGATATGTCTACTACATCACTGTTGTCTATATATATATATATATATAAATGTGCAGTATATGTAATGTATATATATATATATGTGTGTATGTATATATATAATGTATATATATATATATATATGTAATCATATGTACGTGGATGGGTATGCACATATAAAATTATATCCTACTATGTTGTATCATATTAAATGTCATTTGACTGCATTATATTTGTATGATAACAAATATGCATGTATGAAATAATGATATACGTACACATTGAATATTTGTGCACATATACAATGTATGTACTATACACTATGTATACATATACAAAGTATGCATATACGATAGTATATAATTGAATATGATGTACTTCTATACTGTCTATGATATGTAAATAAATAAATATATATATATATATATATAGATATTTAAATACGATATGATACATATATATATATATACGCGTGAACAATATGTATCTATTTATCTAATTAATTGTATTGAATGCCATACCCAACTATGTCCAAGACGCTCTCACCAGAGCACTTTTAAACTCAAGGCAAGTCTCTGTGGCTGCAGGTTGCCATGCCAGAATTTCCAAGTACTCCTCACTGCATAAAATTCTGGGGTGGATGAACAAAACGGCGACATATCACCTGGAAACCACACTTCTGGGGTCAGAAAATAACATGGAAACCAACCCAAAAAATGGGTTCAACTTTGGCATGAACATGATTCTCCAGACTTGGATATGGACAATTTTGGGTAATGTAACTGTAAGCCTGATGGAATGACATTCTTTCAAACGGTGTCCAATCACATGGTGCTGGACAAACATCCAACTCCAGTGATTTATTTGCCACCTCTGACTTTTCATATTTCCCATGTTTGTCCGCCTTTTGTCTGCAGTTGTTGGGGGAAAAAAATATATATATACTGTATATATATATATATCCGACTTTTTTGGGCTGCTCTCTCCACCCCAAAAAGGTTCAACCGGCGAGTTATTGGGGATGGTTTACGGCATGTTAGTTGAATAGAGGGTTATAATTGCAATAGATCGATTCAGGAACTAAACTACCCAACTACCCGAACTACCCATCCAAGGCTTTCGTAGCAATGTCGGAACTCCCAATAATTTACATGAGATATCAAACCATGCGCCACTATCAACCGTATTTGGGACTAATAAAACACATTTTCGCCGGGTCAATCGGTAATGAACCGCGGGTGGTGACCATTTCCGTGGATCCCACAGCCGAGGGCACTTGGGTTACAAATAGTTAGTATAAAAAGTTAGAATCATCATAAACCCTATAGTTAAATCTAGTCAAGATATAGTTCTAAGTTCTAAACGTTATTCATATGCGTATATAATCGTATATATTTGTGATATATATCCGCCGACCCCTGCCGACAGCAGGGGGAGCGCGTCAGAGAAGAGATTACAAGCAACAAGTGTTGTGCAGTGCAAGTGAGGGGCAAGCGAGGGGGGGACAGAAAGGGAAGCCAGGTGCAGAGTAAGAAGCCCAAAAAAGGAAGCGAGAAAGGAGAGGCAGTCTCAGCGAACGTAGCAAGCGAAAGAAGCACGAAACAAGAAGTTAGAAGCAAGAATGCAGAAGCAAGAGTAAACGAGCGACAGAAAGTAATGTTTGGCACTCTGGGCTACGGGCCGCGGGCCCAATCCGTCCTTCACTGCCATGGTGTTTTAGCCCTGCGAGGAAGTCCCTTGACCGGAGCTGTGCCGCACGAAAGCCAGCTGTCAGACAATGCAGGCAAGTTGGCAGTTGGCAGTGCAGGAACGCAGGGAAAAGCTAGGTTTGAGCTGCAAGACGACGCAGGCAAAGTGGCAGTTGGCAGTGCAGGAAGGCAGGGAAAAGCAAGGTTTGAAGCTAGTTTCTAGGCAGTTCAGAAAGCAACGTTAGGCACCGTGGGCTGCCGGCTGCGGGCCCGATCCGTCCTTCAGTGCCATGGTGTTTGGGCCCTGCGGAGGGGTCCTTTGACCGGACCTGTGCAGGACGCACGCCAGCTGCAAGAAGACACGGGCAAGCTAAGTTTGGAGCTCGTTTCTAGGCAGTTCAGAAGGCAACGTTAGGCAGTGGGGGCCGTGGCCCGCAGGCCCCGTCCGTCCCTCAGGGCCCTGCTGTTTCGGTGTGGCGAGCGCGCCCTGTGTGAGCCTTGGCGGCTGGAAGACAGGTCGTGGCGGCCGTGGCCCGCACGCCCGGTCCGTCCTTCAGGGCCCTGCTGTTTGGCTGTGGCGGAGGCGCCGTTTTAGGTCAGACAGCTACTTTTCTTGTAGGTTCAGAAAGCAACGTTAGGCAGTGGGGGCCGTGGCCCGCAGGCCCCGTCCGTCCCTCGGGGCCCTGCTGTTTCGGTGTGGCGAGCGCGCCCTGTGTGAGCCTTGGCGGCTGGAAGACAGGTCGTGGCGGGTGGGCGGCCGTGGCCCGCGGCCCGGTCCGTCCCTCAGGACCGGCTGTTTTTGGCGTGGCAATCGCGCCGTGTGTGAGCTTTGGCGGCTGGAAGACAGGTCAGACAGCTTGCTTTCTTGTAGGTTCAGAAAGCAACGTTAGGCAGTGGGGGCCGTGGCCCGCAGGCCCGTCCGTCCCTCGGGGCCCTGCTGTTTCGGTGTGGCGAGCGCGCCCTGTGTGAGCCTTGGCGGCTGGAAGACAGGTCGTGGCGGCCGTGGCCCGCAGGCCCGGTCCGTCCCTCAGGACCGTGCTGTTTTGGCGTGGCAATCGCGCCGTGTATGAGCTTTGGCGGCTGGAAGACAGGTCAGGCAGCTTGCTTTCTTGTAGGTTCAGAAAGCAACGTTAGGCAGTGGGGGCCGTGGCCCGCAGGCCCGGTCCGTCCCTCAGGGCCTTGCTGTTTCGGTGTGGCGAGCGCGTCGTGTTTGAGCCTTGGCGGCTGGAAGACAGCAAAGAGAGTTACTTTTCTTGTAGGTGCAGAAAGCGACGTTGGGCACTGAGTGCGGTGGCCTGCAGGCCCGCTCCATCCTTCAGGGCCCTGCTGTTTGGCTGTGGCGGAGGCGCCGTTTTAGGTCAGACGGCTGCTTTTCTTGTGGGTTCAGGGGGCGACGTTAGGCAGTGGGGGCCGTGGCCCGCAGGCCCCATCCGTCCCTCAGGGCCCTTCTGTTTCGGTGTGGCGAGCGCGCGCTGTGTGAGCCTTGGCGGCTGGAAGACAGGTCGTGGCGGCCGTGGCCCGCAGGCCCGGTCCGTCCCTCAAGACCCTGCTGTTTTGGCATGGCAATCGCGCCGTGTGTGGGCTTTGGCGGCTGGAAGACAGGTCAGACAGCTAGCTTTCTTGTAGGTTCAGAAAGCAACGTTAGGCAGTGGGGGCCGTGGCCCGCAGGCCCCGTCCGTCCCTCAGGGCCCTGCTGTTTCGGTGTGGCGAGCGCGCCGTGTTTGAGCCTTGGCGGCTGGAAGACAGGTCGTGGCGGCCGTGGCCCGCACGCCCGGTCCGTCCTTCAGGGCCCTGCTGTTTGGCTTTGGCGGAGGCGCCGTTTTAGATCAGACAGTTACTTTTCTTGTAGGTTCAGAAAGCAACGTTAGGCAGTGGGGGCCGTGGCCCGCAGGCCCCGTCCGTCCCTCGGGGCCCTGCTGTTTCGGTGTGGCGAGCGCGCCCTGTGTGAGCCTTGGCGGCTGGAAGACAGGTCGTGGCGGCCGTGGCCCGCAGGCCCGGTCCGTCCCTCAGGACCGTGCTGTTTTGGCGTGGCAATCGTGCCGTGTGTGAGCTTTGGCGGCTGGAAGACAGGTCAGGTAGCTTGCTTTCTTGTAGGTTCAGAAAGCAACGTTAGGCAGTGGGGGCCGTGGCCCGCAGGCCCGGTCCGTCCCTCAGGGCCTTGCTGTTTCGGTGTGGCGAGCGCAGCCTTGGCGGCTGGAAGACAGCTAAGAGAGTTGCTTTTCTTGTAGGTTCAGAAGGCCGTGGCCCGCAGGCCCCGTCCGTCCCTCGGGGCCCTGCTGTTTCGGTGTGGCGAGCGCGCCCTGTGTGAGCCTTGGCGGCTGGAAGACAGGTCGTGGCGGCCGTGGCCCGCAGGCCCGGTCCGTCCCTCAGGACCGTGCTGTTTTGGCGTGGCAATCGCGCCGTGTGTGAGCTTTGGCGGCTGGAAGACAGGTCAGGCAGCTTCCTTTCTTGTAGGTTCAGAAAGCAACGTTAGGCACTGAGGGCGGTGGCCTGCAGGCCCGGTCCGTCCTTCAGGGCCCTGCTGTTTGGCTGTGGTCAGACAGCTACTTTTCTTGTAGGTTCAGAAAGCAACGTTAGGCAGTGGGGGCCGTGGCCCGCAGGCCCCGTCCGTCGGGGCCCTGCTGTTTCGGTGTGGCGAGCGCGCCCTGTGTGAGCCTTGGCGGCTGGAAGACAGGTCGTGGCGGCCGTGGCCCACAGGCCAGGTCCGTCCCTCAGGACCCAGCATGCTGTTTTGGCGTGGCAATCGCGCCGTGTGTGAGCTTTGGCGGCTGGAAGACAGGTCAGACAGCTAGCTTTCTTGTAGGTTCAGAAAGCAACGTTAGGCAGTGGGGGCCGTGGCCCGCAGGCCCGGTCCGTCCCTCAGGGCCCTGCTGTTTCGGTGTGGCGAGCGCGCCGTGTTTGAGCCTTGGCGGCTGGAAGACAGCTAAGAGAGTTAGTTTTCTTGTAGGTGCAGAAAGCAACGTTCGGCACTGGGGGCCGTGGCCCGTAGGCCCGGTCTTTCCTCAGGGCCTTGCTGTTTGGCTGTGGCGGAGGCGCCGTTTTAGGTCAGACAGCTAGTTTTCTTGTAGGTTCAGAAAGCAACGTTAGGCAGTGGGGGCCGTGGCCCGCAGGCCCCGTCCGTCCCTCAGGGCCCTGCTGTTTCGGTGTGGCGAGCGCGCCCTGTGTGAGCCTTGCCGGCTGGAAGACAGGTCGTGGCGGCCGTGGCCCGCAGGCCCGGTCCGTCCCTCAGGACCGTGTTGTTTTGGCGTGGCAATCGCGCCGTGTGTGAGCTTTGGCGGCTGGAAGACAGGTCAGACAGCTAGCTTTCTTGTAGGTTCAGAAAGCAACGTTAGGCAGTGGGGGCCGTGGCCCGCAGGCCCGGTCCGTCCCTCAGGGCCCTGCTGTTTCGGTGTGGCGAGCGCGCCGTGTTTGAGCCTTGGCGGCTGGAAGACAGCTAAGAGAGTTAGTTTTCTTGTAGGTGCAGAAAGCGACGTTAGGCACTGAGGGCGGTGGCCTGCAGGCCCGGTCTGTCCTTCAGGGCCCTCCTGTTTCGGCGTGGCGAGCGCGCAGGGTTCTGTTGTTTGGTGAAGGCTCCGTTTGTGATCAGTTCTGCACGGGCCATCGGTCGGTGCGACACTGCTTTCCGTTGGGCGTGCGATGCGTTATTTGAATTTGACCGGAAGCTTTTGTTGAATGCACCACTGTGCCGCATGTTGGACATGTGTGCGCAAGTGTACGGCCTGCAAGCAGGCCATTCGCAACGCGAAATTTTTTGCCGCAGCCATCACCGCGGCGGTGATAGACTTGCCCTGTTGCCACAGTGCTTTGCACAGATTTGGCGCAATGCGGGCAGAGGTATGTGTACACCCGCGGCGTCGCTGTGTCGGGCTCCGCAGCAAGCTGCTGGGTCGATGAATGGGCAACACCCGTTCTGGTTTCGTCTGTTCCCATCGACGTTTGTCTAGCCTCGTGGATTTTCTGAATCTCCTTGCAAACGTCTGCTAGGATTGCTTCGTGTCGTTGACGGGATTCGCGTTGGCGCAAGCGGGCCAAGCGTTGATTCGTGCGATGAGCAAGACGACACACGAAGGCAAAGGCTGTGCATGCATTGCATACTTGTGTACCATCCTGCGTATGTTTCCGACTTTGCTGCCAAGCTGTGAGCTCTGCTCGTGGCTTGCGCTCGCTGCACTGGGAACATTGCCAACACCCCCGCTGTTTGGTGGTACATTCTCTGCAGCAGCCGTCCGCGTTGCGAGCTTTCCATGCGGCCGGTCCAAATTCGGCTTCCGGTTTTGCAACGCCACATTTGAAACACGGTTTCTTCATTTCACATGTCAAACACACACGGAAAAAACTACATTGCCGTTGCGGTGCTTTTCCGGAAAATTGGTCTCGACATGCCACAGCTTGCACACGTTGCATTGCCATGGCGTCCCGGCATCTGCGTAATGCTTTGTGCATTCGCGACAAACGCGATCTTTGTCGTCGCGCTTCCACTGGCCAGCGGTGAAAGCTGTAGATGGCTTGCGCTCTGCGCAGGTTGAACACGCGCGTTCTGCACAATATTTGGCCAGCAAGTCCTGCCAATTGATCGGTTCCCTGCGAAGATGTCGGAGCAGCAGGTCCCGCCCTAAACCAATACCTTTCTGGAATGGAGCGGCGTCAAAAGGTCGAAAAATCAGGAGTTTCTCACGGCCTTGCACGCGGGTAACGGCGACGTAGACGGTAAATGGATTTCCCCTTGGCCCTATGCAAAGATCTGTCGTCACGCCTTCCTTGATGGTTTGGCCTTGTGCGACATGCGCTGTGATAGCAAACTGCGGCGCCAGCGGGAATTGGGTGCGTGAGACACGGAGCTTGGGGCTTCGACGTTGCCGGTCCAAGTACCACACGCGCCTGCAGGTCACAACTGGGTAGACGTTTGCGTCCGGGACACCGGATATTTGCCACGACGTGGCGGTGTCAAACTTCACGTATACCACGGCCGGCAGGTTGTTGCACACCATTCCTTCGGGTGCAGGTGTCGCATCGGCAATCGCAGACCAACCGACTACATAGCCCTTGGTGCCTTTCAGGATTCCACGCTTGCGGTCTAGGTGGTCTGTGGCCCGAACATGCAGGCATGCCCACGCACAGCGGCAAGACGCCATACAGCCCACCGCATTCCTTGTCGTGTCGCTGCAACCACTGCAATTTCTCGGCCGTCAGATTCGGCTTTTCTTGGAGGACCGCTGCACCACTAGAAGTACAATAAGCACCTAGTGGAAGTAGAACCGGTCTTACAAGCCTCCAAGGTGCACTTGCAATATTGCGAGTAGCTAGTCAACTAGTTACATTTGTCCAACAACCGAAGCACACGGAGAACGTGAGCCAGCACCAGCAGCGAGAGCACGACCAGCAGGAGCAGTAGCAGCAGCTCCTGGGAGGATAATCACTAGTAGTGGCGGCGGCAGCAGCAGCGGAGGCAGTGGAGGCAGTGGAGGCAGCAGTAGAAGCAACGGTAGTAGCGATGGGAGTAGCAGTACGACGACCAGAAGCAGTATATATTAGGATAAAAAGCATCGTTAAGGCCAGCATCAGTCTTTCTTCAACGAGAAAGGGGTATGGATCTGGGGTATGGATCAAGGGTATGGATCAAAGTATGGATCGGGGGGTATGGATCGTGTGTAGCTTTGGCGCCTTGATCCATACCTTGTATTTTGACTCGTACCCATATAGTTTTCTTGTAGGTTCCGGAAGTGACGTATGTGTCAACTCCCCCTCTCTCCCAGGGGTCGGCGGCAGGGGGCGTAGCCCCTTATAAGTGCGGAGAAGGGTTTGCCCAACCATCATAGTGACTTTCCCTCAGAAGAATTTCAATCCAATCTCTCAAAGACTCACAAACAATTGTCGGCACATAGAATTGCAAAGAACCCCTTTCTTCGCCTGCCAGGCATCGAGCAAAGGAATAGCCTGCCAACCGAAGGATTGGCTTCACCAAGGTGTCGTGAGCAACAAAATGTGATCCTCCTACGTCCAGATTCAAATGGCGACAACTGAAGGGTATCCATGTGCGGGAGTTACCACTGCACACCCCTTGAGATTTCAGCCAACCATGCAGCAATATGGTAACATCCCAAAAACCTCCGGAGCCAATAAGCTCAAGAGAAAACGCCCTCTAGCCCCAAGCTATTTGAGATGCCAGAGGTTCCTTAAAGCACTGAAAGAAGGGTGGTTGATGATCACCCCCATAACGCCTTTGCTGTTGTAGCACCAACCTGTGCACAAGTCCGGGCCTCAGGCCTTTCCGGGCGCCTCAAGCTGCCAGCCAGCCAGGCCAAAGTCGGAGTCCGAGAGGGACACTGTGGATCTGCCAAGGAAAAGGATTGGAAAAGGATCAACACGCTCAACCGATCTCAAGAAAATCTAGAGGTGTTTCAAAGACTTTTTTATTGCAAACCAACTGGGCCTTGGTGTTGAAACCTCGTCGCCCAGATGAACTGTACAGGGCCCAGCGGTTGAGATCCGCATCTCCTGACAGACCCAAAAACCGTGGAGCTGCATCCTGGAAGATCCCCTCTCTGAGTAAATCTGTTGCAGAAGAGCTGGAAAAAAAATAATATATATATATATATTATATATTATATATATATTATATATATACATATATAAATATATTATATATAAATATATATTGCCAAGGAAGGGTCGGATATGTCCAACTTCTTTCCAACAAGCCAGCCTCCAGTCGACGAGGTGACCTGGTCACGAGGAAGATCTATGGACTCTCGTTCAAAAAGGAGTGGAAAGAGACTCAATCCTTCCACAAAGTTCTTAAATGTTTTAAGCTGCAACCAGCTCTTCATGCAATCAAGCTGCAGGGCTTGCTACATTCAGACTTGCACTAGTGACACAAAATACTTGCAGGCAATGCCACCCTATTTCCCACAAATTGTCCATTTTGTCTGTGGAGCTGCAGAAATATTGTATGCATTGTCTGAGAGTCGAACGATCGGAAGTTATCCAAACTTTGCAAGCTCAAAGGGGAGGTGGGAGAAACCTGCCAAAGGGAACACCTTCCATCAAAGGTCAAATGTAGAAAAGGAATCCCTTGGAAGCTCCAGAGTAAGCCCCAAGTAAAGTAAATTAGCAATGTCAACGATCATCGCTTCAAAGCCATTGGCCTTTGGAGAAGCCTCCATGGTTGGTCCATCTTTTTCTGGTGCTTCCCATAGGTCCGAATCCTCGGCGTCACTGCAGATTTCAGTAACCTGCTTTTGTTGCTACACTTAAAGCAGGAGCAAGTGCATCGAAAAATAATGGCAGTCCACAACTCAGAATTTCTACTCTGCTACTGCACATGTCAAAGCCTCTTTTGGAGAATGAGGCATTCTACAGGCACATATCTTGTAAGTGGGCCAACTGGTATCTTCATGAACAAGAACCTGATGGAAGAAACATTCTGAAAATCAAAAAACTAGCAGCAGGTACAACATCCGAACATATCCAGCAAAGTCTGCATCTTTGCTAGAAATTGAGCTTTTGAATTTTTGGGTGTCAGCACGGGCAAACCTTTGGGAAGGAATCTTCACCAGAGCCACATCCATGGAAACATGTGCCTGCATCAGAACATGTACCTAAAGATCTCGTTGCCATCAGAGCAAGTTCTAGGCATTCTGGCAATACTGCTTGCTAAGAGGACAATTTTTTTAGGCATCTTCCTAAATGCTGCAGTCAGGACTGAGCTTCGTGGTCCAAAGCACCTGACTTCTGTTATCCGGTTATCCCTCTCTAATCATGCGATTTGGATGTGAGCTTTGATCCAAGGGACATTCAGCACCATTCGTAGGGTGTGCACGTCAGCGGCCGCTCCGCTGCCACCTCAAGCAACTTCCACGGTATTCATCGCTGATTTCTACAAGCAGTTTGGGTTTGTGTTTATGTGTCTGTCATCCTAAAACATGCCCCAACCCCCCCCCTTCCCATTTTTCCTATCGGAACCAGTCTTCAAGGGTCCCAACGGGCGATCAAATTGGAGACCGCCACAGCTGGAGTGCGATGACCACCTGAGGATGCAGAAAATCATCTGGAACGGAACATACGGATTTTGATGTTCAAAGTCATCAAAGTCATCCTTTTCTGTGCGCAACTAGCGTGTGCATTGTAGCGATAGCATGACCAATCCTTGGGCTACGGACTGCAAAGCCCACTGAGGAGGCCAACAAGACGCCCCTGCACCGATGCATGCGCAGAAGATAGCTTCCTGTCAGGTGCCGAAAATGGGGGAAAGTAGACTTTCAAGCAGTCTGCAGGTTTGATCTTCGGGTTGCAGTGTGTTTGAAGTTTGCATGTCTGCTGAGTACTAGATTCGTTGCAAGCCCAGTCTTGAAGCATGTCGTTTCTTGAACAGCAAACAGCGCGGAAAGAAAGAATCGGCAACTCGGCAACCCATTTCTTTCTGTCTGCTGTTTTCAGTTGTGTCATCATCAGAACTAGTCCATATTTGTTTCTAGAGCAAGAAACGGGAACACGCTCATCAAACTTTGATGCATCCATTGCTATCTTGTTGATTTCGTAACGTGGAAGACCAGGTGATATGTGGCATAAATGGCACCTCTCCGCACAGCGCCAGCGCTTCCAGGATTTCTTGGACATCTCAGCGGAGGTTGCAATGGCCCCACCATGTGCATCCTCAGCTGCCAGGCAGCCAATGGTTTGGCATTGGTTGGGAGCTCATACCCAAGACCACTGGAACAGCCACAAACTGCATGAGAGCTTGGGTTCAGTGGAAGAAAATTGCAGAAAATGGCTTTACTGTAAGATCTGTAAGTACTCTTCAGTTTTCTCGCAATATAACTATAGGCTATAGGCACTAAAGTATACTAAAGTATACTAAAGTAGTGAAGGCAGAAAGCCTCGTGTGTTTCGTCTGCCAAGGTACCCCATGTTCCCTGAAGCTTAAAGGCACGGTCATGGCCTAGGAGATAGGGTGCCTGTTTGAGCCAACACGGCAAAGCGAAATATAATGGTCCTGCATGGTCATGCTATAGTGATCTATAGTGCATATCCTCGTTTTTCACAAGGTATCTGCTTCAATCGCTTTTAACGTTTTCTTGTCATCACCATTACTCTACAAAGTCTCCAGGCAGGTGCTCCCATTCTATCCTTGTCTGTCAGGTACTTCCTTTTCTCCGTTTGCACCAAGCTCCAGACACAGTGTTTCTCCAAACTTCCATCTGGTCAGTCACAGTCACTCAGTGGAAGAAAAGAAAGAACTGAAATTGCAGCAAGAAAGAAATATATACAAAGCTTGGAGAATTGGCTTGTATTGATTTGTTGCCAACTCCATGCACTGGCATCATATTCGCGCCATATTCCGTGAAACATTCCAAGCTTGAAGAGCCATTGAAGGTCAATAAAGCTTCCTCCATCCAATCTCCATCAAATGTTGCAATCCGTCTCTGTGTTGGTCTGTCAACCACCCGCCTGCGAGGTCCTCAGCGCGACAGCAAACCGCAGGAGCCATGTTAGACAATACACAATTCTCCATTCAAGTTGTCTCCCAGATTTACTTGCTAAATTGTCCGTATCAGGAAGCCATGCTAGATTGGAACGAACTAACATACCTTGCTTTCAGGACATGGCCGCGTTTTGTTGGCCCCTATTCCTCGGCCGAAGACTGCCATGCAAATTTGAGTTTGCCACCCCGACGCAGCAAGCTGGTTGTAGAGATCCTGCCCAGCGCTTCTTCACTGCGCCGTTCATGTTTGAGTTCCTGTGTCTCATTGCTGTCCTGCTCCGACATGCCCTGCGCACAGCTTGAAGCCAGCTGCAAAGAGGCATCGTCCATCCTCAGAGATGCTGCTTTCCGCAGGTTTTTTTCGATATCCACTATATTTTTCTACATTCCACTCCTATCCCTCCACCTTTTGGGGTCCGCACACAGCTGGAGCCACCTGGCAGCTATTCATCAGCTAAGGCGATCTTTAGCTCTACTGCAATGACTATGACACCCTTTGGTTTGGAGAACAAGCATCAGCATTAAAGGAAGCTGCTGTTATGATGCATTGCTTTAAACTTTCAACATCCAGCCACTCTGGGTCAAATTGAATCTTACATTGTGATACATTGTGATACATTGTGATACATTGTGGACAAAAACCCGAACTAAGCACATTTGTCAAAATCCATTGACAGAGATATACGCAGAGTTCACTTCATCCCCTCTCACTTGGACAGTTGCTGCACCTGGCTTGGAACAAGGTCCATTCGCGGCCTGCGCAAAAAGCTGGAGGAAGGCGTAGATCATGAAAACGGCAAAGAATGGATCTGAAATAGACTATTGAAACTCGAGATGAGATGTGCTCATGTGCTCCGAGAGCTGTCCCTTTTCTGAAGAATCGCGCCTTTGCTTCTGCACAGCCATGAGTGTGCCGCAGTGGCCAAAGGGCTTAACTACCAAATATGTAAGCTCCCAGGCCAGCTTGCAGCTTCAAGCCCAATCCAACAACAAACGTGAAATGAAAGGTGATGCAAAACCTGGCTGATCATGCAAACCACCCCTCATAGGCTGTCAAATCTTGGGAATTCATCGTGCTTCAGGTATGCTTTAGTCAAGAATGCCTCACCAAGCTAGGCCCTGGAGACCCTGATGTCCTGGCTTTGCAAAGTCACACTAGTCACTTGCATCTTTTGGGCACTCGCGGAGAGATCGCAAGTTGCGCAATGTCCTTGCAGGGTCCCGTCTTCACAATCATGGCCGATATGCCAACCAAGAAGAGCAACTAAAAATGACAAATCAGAGACCTTGCAGAATGGATCCAGCTGTGCGTGATGCGCGAATTCGAGGCTTGAATCTGTTGCTTGAAACCTGTACGCAGCCAAGCCGGCATATCTTGAATTGGGATGCTGGCCGTCACATGTTCTGCAGAACCAAAGGGAACACCGGAAAAGGACCCCTTCTCGCCGCAAACGAATTACAGTAGTTCATCAAGAATAAAGGCAGAAATGCCCGTACTGCATGTTGGAAACCAATTCCGATCTGCAGAACAAGGATTGCACTTGCACTGGACCCTTCAATCACTGCAGGCTGTCCACTCGAGCACCTGATCTCATTAGATAGTGATGGTAGCAATTGCACACCTGAGCTACTTCTCACTAGCAGAATTCAATGGAAGCAAACTAGGAACACACCCAGCTGATTGATGGCAGATGAGGATTAGGACGGGCATCATAGGTGCAAAATCGTCAAGTCTTTGTCTTTGAAATCGCGTTGCAGCCTACCCAGTGACTCGTGAAGAGCCAGCAAGAACAGTGCAAAGACGAATTGCGCCCGAAGGCAATTGATTAGTTAAAGAACGAGCGGGAATCGGCACCGCATCGACTGCAATGGGTGCAAGAGCAAGTGCCGGTGGCAAGTGCCAGTGGCACGTCTTTCATGCTCTCTCAAAAGCTACAAAAAGGCCCCTGTGAAGGCGACCCTCAAATGCCCTCAGGCTTTTCCGGCAGACAAGCCAAGGATCTCTTCAACAGCAAGCATTGCTGCGGCTGCGACCTGTAGCAGTCCAGTTCAAATTGCAAAGGCACTCTTGTACTGACTTAATCTGATTTCTACTGTGGCTTCAAGGTGTCAAAGCTGTGATACAATCATTTAGGGGATGAACATTAAATGAACATCCATTTGCCAAAATTCTGGCCTCCTCGGCAGTGCAATCCGGATTCACCTCGGCTGCCGCTGCAGCTGCAGCACCGAGGGCTGCTGCACAGGCTGCATAGCCAATGCCCAGAGATGAGGACGCAAGGCCCTGCAGGGCGCCTGCTAGGAGCCATGGGTCAGAATCTTCAGCCCTGATTACATATCCTAGATGAGCTAAAACTATTGGTGATTCCAAGGGCACGATTCTTGCCTCTGAACTTGGAAGCAATTCTGCTGCAAGGCATAATAAAAGGCCTTTGCTCCAAAAAAAAATATCTGTGCTGGGAGCCTCACCTTTCCAATCGATTTGGATAGTCTCTCATTTCACAAACAAACAAGGCACTGATTTGGTCCCAAATGGTCCCAAAATACTTTGATACCCCTTGAAATGGAAAAGAGCAATCCCTTTTAGGTCTGAACCAATTCCCACATTGTGTGAGGAAACCTCAAAAATACTCGTGATGCCTTTGGCTGAAGCACGGCTGATGCTTGAATCACCAAATTTGCCAGCTGCTTGCTTGGCCACCTGCTTGAAGCTGCACATAAACATGAAACGAGGTGGAGGAAGCCAATTTTACTGAATGAACAAAAAGCCAAACGGCTTTGAAGCCAGAGTAGGCGCTCTGAGCACCCACCTGACCCACCTGGGCAACAGCTCTCTTGGATCTCCGCTCAGACTGCACAGGCTCCTAAGGGAGAAAGAGAGAAAGAGAGAGGAAGAAAAAGCATCTGCCGTTATGTAAATGGATTCTGAACTGGCTCTTCTTGATACTGTCGTAAAAAGTGTCTTCATTTCAAAAACCAGCTTAGAAGACCTATTACCTTGAACTGACGGCCGAAGAGCCTTCGTTGCCCAGTCCTTGGATGTCCGTGCTCGCTTGGAGCCAGCAGGCCCTGCCTGCAGTAGAGCAACATTGAAGAGTCGTGCCTGTAATTATACACTGGCCCCAGCATGTTTGCCAACAACACCTCTAGTACAGCAATCCATTCTTTGAAGTTTAGAGGCTATTGCAGGCTATTTCCATAGAAAATTCCCCATCGCATCAAGGTTATGCATGGAAAACACTCCATACACTGACACTAGTACAAACAATCTGACTGTGCCATTTGCTGGTTAAAGAATTGAAGTCCTAAGTCCTAAAGTGGAACTATGAGTTGCATCATCTATCAGTAAAGTGCACCTGTAGATTACGGGGGAACACTTTCAAAATGAGCGCTTTCAACTGCAAAATCCCGAAGGGGTGTCTTTGATGAACATGGAGTATGTCTACTCCAGTCTACTCGTTCTCCACTTCACTGTAACTGTAATTGCCACTGTAAGGTCCCACCTTCGATGTCATCGAGCGGGCAACCATTGCTGGGTGACAGCTCTACAGGCAAATGTATCGTAAAAGGTGTGATCAACACCGGACATTTCTTTGACAATCTTTGACGTCTGATACTTGTTGTGCTCTTTGATGGACATTGCAAGTCCATATCTCATCATGAATGAAATGTGGAGCCATCTAAATATCTTACAGAAGTTGTGGGACTGGTAGAACGCCGTAGCTGCTTGCCTGTTCAATACACTGAGTCTCTCGCATGCTGTTCTGCACATGCCTGAAAATTCTGGGCATCCTGGAGTTCGGCAAGTCACCCAACCTTTTCAACTCTCTAGCCCTTAAACCCGAAACCCTTTGCAAATTGAAGGAAAAAAATGTAAGACTCCAATTTTCTGCACCAGAGCTTCAATATTCAATACACCTCTACTTGAAAGCAGAGTCGTGAAGTCCTTTGCCAGCAAGTGTCAAAACATCGAACCCCAGCTAGCCCTATTATAGGTGCTAAGCTCCCGACTCATCGTTTGTGAATGTCTGTGAGCGGTTTTGGTTGGCTTCACTTTGTCTACCAAGGTGGTCCTTTGACAACACATTTCAACACTGCCGAAGCTTCATGCTGGGTACATTCTGACTCAAAAAGGCTGCGTCTTGCAACCTTTGTCTATGCACTGCAGGTCGTGCAGTGAAACTACAAAAGAAGCTGAAGAACAAAGTGACAGGAAAAGCACTAGCACTTCTTGCGCCAGCTCGTCTTTTAAATCGTTTGGATTGGAAATCAGATCTGCATGGAGCGGGGCACTTTGGCACCCTAGAAATTCGTTCAGATGTCATCGAGCTGAAAGCAACGGTGGAAGGCTCGTATCACCACCTCAAGACTCGGGTAGAGTTCATCATCTTTCAGGGCCGCTTCCAATGTAACTCGTTGAGGCTATCATCTTTAAGGCGCTCCATCTGCATGTACAATCATGATCAATCATGTACAAACAAAAGATCTCCCTCATGTGTCTGCATCTTACGTGCATCTGTTATGGTTGGTGCGAGGTTGGATTGAAATGACTAAGATGCGTGCGAACTTCCTTAGATCGCTTGTCAACAGGTACGTCGCCTGCAAAAGGTGCCAAAGAGAGCTCTGCAAACGAATCTGCTGCGAAACTTCAGTTCAACTGACAACATGCGTCGAAAAGTCCCCCCCACCTGGTATCCGAAGCTCGCTCTCCAGCTCCTGAAAATCTGTGACACGGCTGAGAATATCAGCTCGGCTTGTCGGCTTGAAGGAAAAAGCATCCTGCTCATCCATGGTGGGACCAAAGGGGCAAAAATGGTGCAAGCTGTCCTGGATACGCTGTTTGGCTGCCCGCAGCTGTTGGTCCTTAATGTGAACCTCTCAACAAGCGAAGGCAGAAATGTGATAGACAAATGGCAACAAATGGTCATCATAGACAGACTCAACCGAAGCTCAAAATCCCTTGCAACGCCTCTTGCTCTTTCTTTTTGAGGAGGGCAATAGAGCGTTCTTTTTCCCGCTGCTTTTCAAGAGCCACCTAAGCATGCATTGGTAGCACTCAAAGGCTGCGGCACACAACGAGAAGCTCAGTAGGATCACGTACATAGAATGCATCAGGAGGTCGGTTTTTGTAGGCATCATAGAATTCTCATCTGATTGAATTCACCTGGACAAGGCCTCAGTGCCCCGCCTTTGCTTGGTATTCCTGTCACAGGGAAAGTCACAAGATCTGCCACCTACCTCCACTTTTCATCAAATTTAGCGGGACTGAGGACCATTCAAGCTGCATTTGGAGGTGCTGTGACGCCATGGAACTCAACTGTTCGACTATTGTCCTTCATCTTGAAATTTTGATCGCATTCCAACCACTATGGCACACTGTCCGCATGCAGATCTCGCCATGAAAATGTGCTTCTGAGAGTCAAGCAAGTGAGCCCCGTCTTTCTGGCATTAGGACTGCCAAAATGTTGAGTCCTAAAGATCTGTACAGCAAACAACCTCTGCATCTGTACACTGAACAGAATCCCCATGGTCCCACCGACAATCCACGGTGGCACTTTGGGCAGTGCTAAAGGTTAGGATCAAAATGGCCTGCCACGATTGCCACGTGGCAGTTTCGCCTCAAAATGGTGGAAATTCTCCACAAAATTCTGCCTGTTGCTTCAGTTCATGAATTGCCGCCTGGAACGATGGTAGCCCTTCCTTGCAGATCGTCTGGCACACCTCAACAGCCAGGGTGAAATGGCCTGCTGTGGCATCTCCACATGAATCGCCTGGAAGAAATCCTGCCAAGTGTCCAGACTATGAAATTGTCGACATGCATTTTGCAGGGCGGTCACTGTGGATTGCAGTGGCAAACCTTTGGTGCGCTCATAGCGCTCCAACAAACAGCTGGCTTTTTTGCATTCGCCAGTTGCATGATGATGCCGGATGTGAGCAATGTGGTGAAGGAACCATGCGTGAAACATCAACAGCTGACGAGATACCCTGCTGGTCTCCCAGGTTTTCTCCACGCGTTCCTCCACTTCGTTCATGGTGGCGAAGCGGGGGAAAGCTTTCACCAACCACAAGACTCCCCGATCAAAGGTTTCATCCAGGATGGGCACAGCCAGGTCGTCCCAGCTGAATTCATCCGACACCGACAGGAGGCAAATAAATTCCCCGAGGTTCGGCACTTGATCCTTTCTTCTCATCTCCTCGCCCTGCAAGAAGCTCCGAACTTTTGTTTCAATGGCATCATTGAAAGTTTCGTAATGGCTCTTCAAGAGAAGCAAGGTGTGATGGAAAGCCATGTACCCTGCCAGAGCTTTCTCTGATGTATGCAGGTCGCCCTTCATCAGCAGAACAATCTGTGAATTCATCAGCTTCGTCAAGACATCCATGGCTGCCGATTGGTCCAACGGCAAGGTGCGCACTGCAGTGCTTTCACTTCCAGAAGCAGCTTTTGCTGCAGCTTTTGCTGCAGCTTTTTCCTTGGCCGCAGCTCGGGCTTTGGCAGCAGCAGCTTTCTCCTTCTGCCATTGCTCCAAGCTCAAGCCGCGCTCCTCCCGGGCAAGTCGATCACGACGCTGACGTTCGAACAGTGCTTCTCGCTGAGCTTGCCACTCCGCGAATGTCATGACGCTAGAGGCTGGAGCCACCTGATTCTCATGCACCATTCGTCGCCCAGATGAGCCGATTCCATGGGACTTGGTCTGTTCCGCCACCTGGCCAGTGCCCAGCTCAGAGAGAACTTCCAACAGCTTAGGGAGGCCACGATTGAAATGACTTCTGCAGATAGCCAATGGGATCCAATAACGGATGGGCTGTTTCCAGACACCTTTTGAGACCTGCAAGTCGAAGAAGGCTTCCCTGGATAAGGGATCAAAGTTGCAGGTGAGGTGTTGCTTCCCAGTGGATTCCTCCGTGATGGCAACTCCCAGGCCCAGAAGAGTGTCTGCTTCATCAAAGGCGGTCTTGGTGTGGAAGCAGCGCAACTGCTTCAAATCGAAGTAGATGGACACTGCCTCTTCAGCCGGAAGCTTCCAGGTCTTGGAGCATCGGGCCAACTGCCGCAGAGACCCCAAGGGCAGAAGCTGCAACACGGTCTCCGCTGCTGGGCCGGGCAAATCGTGTGACCACAGCTGCGGTTGGAGGTGAACTTGATCATCTTGATCCTGTCGAACCTGATCCTTCACTGGCTGTGGGCGATGGAAGGGACCTCCTCGGGCTGTCAGTTTCAGACCTTTGGGCGAGTCAACCTCAAGGATTCGGACTTGCACTAAGGTTTTTACCTCCAACTCTGCCACATCAACGTCCAATTCAGAGACATGGACCAGGCCAGGAGAGGTTACACCAACATCCACAAAAATCCCATAGGATTTGATGGAAACGATCAGCCCTTGGATAGGTTTGGCTGATCTCATCAGCTCCATCAACTGCTGCTGTGAACGACGTGGCACCAGCTGCAACCAAATCCACTCACGTTGGATGCCAGTGACGTGGGCCACAATCTGCTGCCCCAATGCCAGCTGGCAACCACGAAGTGCTGAGCTCCAGGGTAACCAGCCATTGAAACTATGGTTTGGCAGCTGGACCACAAAGCCCTTGGAATGCAGCTTCGAAACGAAGGCAGTGACCAAATCCCCTGACTGCAACACTTGCCGTTTCTCTTCCCCCATTGCCACAGCAGGGACCCTGGGCACGATGGGCACAATGGGGGGCTCTATCAGCTCCAACGGTGCAGGAAGGTCCAAGGGAAGAAGTGGAGGCAGCGGCTGCTGGAAACAATGACCACATTCTTGGCACTGAAACTTCTCGCATTCCTCCCTAACCTTTCGTGCAAGCAGCGGTGTCATCCTGCCCTTGTAAGTACCACCATGATCTTGAGGCACATGCTCCGTCTCGAACAGGAAGGATGCCAACTGAAGCAGCACTGTTTGCACAGTGTAAGCAGTGCTCCAACCTGCTTTCTGATCATGCTGATGCTGACCGATGATGAAGCTCTGCAAGATATCAAGGCAGATCATATCCCCAAACAGGTTCGGATGGCGAAAAGATGGGAAGTGCTGCGTTGGAAAACGGATGCTGGGAGGAGTGAAGGGGTAGTCTTTGGGCAAATCCATCACCAAATGAAAGACACAGCCCGCCAGCGGACCGTCGCAGGGTCGAAGGTTCACATGCCACCGAAATGGCTCAGCAGGATCCATGGGTCTAGCAGCTACCAGCGGCAGCGGCTCCGTCTCCAGCTCCTTGAGATCTTTGGCAATCCGCCGCAAGGCGGAAGCATGGCGGGATGCGCGCAGAGACATGGCAAGGTGGCGCTTTTAGACTTTGACGTGACACAAACAGGCGAAAGCTGGAGCCAATGCGTGAAGAAGCTCAACCTCAGATTTGGAGAATCCCATCCCTCCACACGTTTCCACTCTGAGAGGATTGAATTGGATTGGATTGTATGTGTAGAGACCTTTGTCGCAGCGTGGCCTGCACCTCCTCCAACTCAGAGGCCTCAGTTGGACACGCTGTTCTGGTTCCAGCAACGATGTCTATTGAAGGTGTCTGTTTGACGCATCACGGTTAGATTTAATGGCAGGCCAATCCCGCCAACCCTTGAAGCAAAGCGTTGCAAAGCTGGTAGCAGCCATACATTGCAAAGTGGTCCAATTGGTTTGAAGAGACATGAAGTGCGTATCCATGCCACAAACCTACTGGACTCCAATTGAAGACAAGTGTTGTCAAAAGTTGGCAAGTCACAATGGTCTTGGTTCCTAGCCATAGCTTCGCATTCCTTCTGCGACTTGTCAAGCTCCTCTTGCAGGACCTAGCAGCTGTGCCGACACAACATGAGCTCTCTGCAATGAAACTCCACAATGCAGCAAATTCCCATGGCATTCCTTTCCGTCAAATTGACAGACCTCTGCAATTCGTATCTGACATGGCATTCCGTGGCATTCCAGGCTCACCTGTACTTGCTGTGAGACGGTCACCTGCAAGCTGGGAGCTTCAAAACAGTAAGTCACAAGCGTGGTCCCACCATGTCCCACCTGTAGCTCTGTATAATTCCTTATACCTTCATCGCAAAATCAGTCCAAGTCAAAGGAGTCTGATATAGCCTGATTGGAGATTTCAGCATGCAAATTGACTTGCGCGAACCCCACCAACTATAAGATTCACGAGGGAATTTACATGAATTTACCTTCTAGTTCCCGAAACTCTCAATGATTCAGCAGCCAGCATCTTCCAGCTCATACCAACATGTGAGGAAACCTCAAATGCTCGTGATGCCTTTGGCTGAAGCACAGCTGATGCTTGAATCGCCAAATTTGCCAGCTGCTTGCTTGGCCACCTGCTTGAAGCTGCACATAAACATGAAACGAGGTGGAGGAAGCCAATTTTACTGAATGAACAAAAAGCCAAACGGCTTTGAAGCCAGAGTAGGCGCTCTGAGCACCCACCTGACCCACCTGGGCAACAGCTCTCTTGGATCTCCGCTCAGACTGCACAGGCTCCTAAGAGAGAAAGAGAGAAAGAGAGAGGAAGAAAAAGCATCTGCCGTTATGTAAATGGATTCTGAACTGGCTCTTCTTGATGCTGCCGTAAAAAGTGTCTTCACTTCAAAAACCAGCTCAGAAGACCTATTACCTTGAACTGACGGCCGAAGAGCCTTCGTTGCCCAGTCCTTGGATGTCCGTGCTCTCTTGGAGCCAGCAGGCCCTGCCTGCAGTAGAGCAACAATGAAGAGTCGTGCCATTATATACTGGCCCCAGGATGTTTGCCAACAACACCTCTAGTACAGCAATCCATTCTTTGAAGTCGAGGTTATGCATGGAAAACACTCCATACACTCACACTAGTACAAACAATCTGACTGTACCATGTGCTGGTTAAAGAATTGAAGTCCTAAGTCATAAAGTGGAACTATGAGTTGCATCATCTATCAGTAAAGTGCTACGGGGGAACACTTCTAAAATGAGCGCTTTCAACTGCAAAATCCCGAAGGGATGTCTTTGATGAACGTGGAGTATGTCTACTCCAGTCTACTCGTTCTCCACTTCACTGTAACTGTAATTGCCACTGTAAGGTCCCACCTTCGATGTCATCGAGCGGGCAACCATTGCTGGGTGACAGCTCTACAGGCAAATGTATCGCAAGAGGTGTGATCAACACCGGACATTTCTTTGACAATCTTTGACGTCTGATACTTGTTGTGCTCTTTGATGGACATTGCAAGTCCATATCTCATCATGAATGAAATGTGGAGCCATCTAAATATCTTACAGAAGTTGTTGGTAGAACGCCGTAGCTGCTTGCCTGTTCCAATACAACTGAGTCTCTCGCATGCTGTTCTGCACATGCCTGAAAATTCTGGGCATCCTGGAGTTCAGAACATTCGGCAAGTCACCCAACCTTTTCAACTCTCTAGCCCTTAAACCCGAAACCCTTTGCAAATTGAAGGAAAAAAATGTAAGACTCCAATTTTCTGCACCAGAGCTTCAATATTCAATACACCTCTACTTGAAAGCAGTCGTGAAGTCCTTTGCCAGCAAGTGTCAAAACATCGAACCCCAGCTAGCCCTATTATAGGTGCTAAGCTCCCGACTCATCGTTTGTGAATGTCTGTGAGCGGTTTTGGTTGGCTTCACTTTGTCTACCAAGATGGTCCTTTGCCAACACATTTCAACACTGCCGAAGCTTCATGCTGGGTACATTCTGACTCAAAAAGGCTGCGTCTTGCAACCTTTGTCTATGCACTGCAGGTCGTGCAGTGAAACTACAAAAGAAGCTGAAGAACAAAGTGACAGGAAAAGCACTAGCACTTCTTGCGCCAGCTCGTCTTTTAAATCGTTTGGATTGGAAATCAGATCTGCATGGAGCGGGGCACTTTGGCACCCTAGAAATTTGTTCAGATGTCATCGAGCTGAAAGCAACGGTGGAAGGCTCGTAT